ATTGATTCAAACTGACCATGTAAACAGGTAAGGTATGTTGTGAATAAAACTTGTTGATTCAAACTGACCGTGTAAACAGAGAACAGTGAAGTACGTACAAATAGAACATGTTGATTCAAACTGACCATGTAAACAGGTAAGGCATGTTGTGAATATGTGTTCAACGATCTTGAGTGTCAATGTTTCCTCTGAGTAAAAATAAGACTTCTTCTTTTTTGTATAGGAGAACTATAAGGTTTGAAAAAACAAGAACAACTAAATGTACGTTATGTGTATCTATCTTTAAGTAGCAGTTTCACCCTTTCGACCCAAAGTTTATGTAGGTAACTATAAAACGGTAGTTTTAACCATTTTATTTTCTTGTCACGCAGTTTGGGCTACAGCCGTCAATTCTGGGCCTTATATTTATAATTTGTGGTGGAGTTTATGCAGGAGCATCTCCTATGTGGGGTTATATCTCTGACAAATTTGTGAGTTCGTGTTTAATGATAAGATATTAATGTACGTATGTTAAATGTTACGAGTCGTGTATTATATAAAGATGGTGTTAAACAATAACTATTTTTAAAGTTTGTTAAACCACGTTGTGTTTTGTTACTGTTAAACAATAACTATTTTAAAGTTTGGTAAATTACGTTGTGTTTTGTTAGTGTTAAACAATAACTATTTTAAAGTTTGGTAAACTACGTTGTATGTTGTTAGTGTTAAACAATAACTATTTTAAAGTTTGATAAACTACGTTGTACGTTGTTAGTGTTAAATAATAACTATTTTAAAGTTTGGTAAACTACGTTGTATGTTGTTAGTGTTAAACAATAACTATTTTAAAGTTTGGTAAACTACGTTGCACGTTGTTAGTGTTAAACAATAACTATTTTAAAGTTCGGTAAACTACGTTGCACGTTGTTAGTGTTAAACAATAACTATTTTAAAGTTTGGTAAACTACGTTGCACGTTGTTAGTGTTAAATAATAACTATTTTAAAGTTCGGTAAACAACGTTGTACGTTGTTAGTGTTAAACAATAAATATTTTAAAGTTTGGTAAACTACGTTGTTAGTGTTAAACAATAACTATTTTAAAGTTTGGTAAACTACGTTGCACGTTGTTAGTGTTAAATAATAACTATTTTAAAGTTCGGTAAACAACGTTGCACGTTGTTAGTGTTAAACAATAAGTATTATAAAATATGAAAGTATGTTGTATAGTATATGTTTCAATACTGTTTTAGCAAATCACTTCCCTGCTTTAAAGTTAATTTTTTCTTCAAACAGCCAACATCTCTTCTTCCATTGTTGATATCGAGCGCCCTCTGTGCGTCAAGTTTCATATTTGTTGGACCCGCTCCTTTCATTCCACTAGATACGTAAGTAATTCCAACAATATTTCGTTCTTTACGAAATCTAGTATTTAGTTATAATGCCACCAGTTTCTCGTGCAGATAGTTGTGATACAAACCTTTTTCTAACGAGTCGTTATTTTATTTTCACATCACGGAAGTGAATAAAACTTTAGAGCAATTAGCCACACTTTTAATGTTTGTGTTATTTATAGGAACCTTGGGTTCGTGATTCTTTCCCAAATAATCCTAGGATTAGGAGTTGGCGGAAAAAGCATCGTCGGGTTGAATCACTCATTGAGATATACAATGTAAGTTCAGTACGTTCTGTTTACTTGTAAGCTATAGTATTGAAGGATCTGATATTGACTGAAGTAGGAGAGCCAGTCTTATTTGTAAACTATAGTATTTAAGGATCTGATATCCACTGAAGTAGGGGAGTCAGTCTTATTTGTAAACTATAGTAGTT